CCGAGGTCTGCGCTCCGCCTCGGCTTTTCTGGAGATGAGGGGGTGCCCCGCCATCCTGCTCTCGGAAAGGCAAGTGGTCTCCCCCACCGTCTCCTCTCCACAGCTAAAAACCGACCCAGCGCCACGGAAAGGCATGGGGATAAATCCTTGTTGTGATCCTGTTGGGTCCCGTGATATTACAAGCCAAAAGAAATGTCCTCATTATTTCCAGAATATTGAAGTCTAATAAATCCCGTCCTGCCTTATAGGATTTATTTCTCCGTTCATTGCTAGGCGACTCAGTCCCGTGTAATCCTATTGCTGCTCCAGGAGGTGGGAGGCAGCTTTCCGAAGCGCGGACCTGGCGGGGCCGTGGGCAGGTGCTGCAGGCAGGAGCAGGCAGCCCCGTCCAGAGCCGCTGGTCCCTGCTGAGGATGGCTGCAGACCCACAAGTGTCGCAGTGCCACCCCCTTTCCCAGGATGTCCCGCTGTCCCGGAGCTGTGCCCCGGCATGGGCTCACCAAAACACATCCCATCTGATGGTTGGGGCACAGCTGAGCCCACAGAGCATTAATCGGCAATTAGCCAATTAACAGAGCATGGCATGGCACGGCACAGCCTGCTCCCCCGGTCCCATGGACACCCACCGTGCTCCCCCGAACCCCCCATTTGGGGCCCTCCAACACCTTCCCATGCCAGGACCCAGCGGGAAAAGCTGGGAAAAGCCGGGCCCAGCACAGACAGTCCCCTGCAGACGTGGCGGCAGCCTGCCCGGTGTGGAGCCGGCCGTGCCTGGCTCGCTGGACGTGGGGGGACTCCCCCGAAGACAATGACGGACACAGAATATGTCTGGAAATTTCACCAATGAAGTGCTTCCCATAGCAACCATTGCTGGGGCAACCTGCATCCTGAGCAGCATCCATCCCAAAACACCCAGTCCTGCATCCGCCAGAGCTGGTGAAGAGCCACGGTGCAGGACCGGTGGGGCCCTCGCCGTACCCCACCGCCAGCAGCACGGGGATGCTCCAGCTGCACCGACCCGGCTCTGAGCATCCCCAGCACCGCAGGGGCCCTGTAACGCTCCACTTTTGATCTTCTTTTTGGCATTTCATTTTCTTAGAGAAGGGAGACCTGTTGGTGCCTGTCGCCCCCCGGGCGCTTGGCTGCGGAAGCAGGGGACGCGGGAGCTGTTGCCAGCTCAGGGTGCTCAGCAGATGCAAGCAGCAATTTTGGCTCCGATGCACCAAAAATGGCCGGGATCGAGTACTGACAGGAGGTGCTTTGATCTCAGCATCGCCATGGGGAGGGGGAAAAATAAAATCCCTGCTGCTCTTAAGTACTGAAGCGGGAAGCTCGCAGCCCCTCGGTGCCCACCCAAAGCCGTGCGGTGGCAGGTTCACCCTGGGGACACCCCAGGGATCCCAGGAGAGACTCTCGCCACCGGCCGCACAGGCCCTCGCCGGGCTCAGGGTCTCCGAAGCAAACACACCGTGGCCTCGTGGGCTCGGCTGCGGTGGCGGGAGTGGGGCTGGGGAGCTCGGAGCCCATCCTGGGAATGCCTGCAGGGCTCAGCCCCTGCACTGTCACCGCTGCCACCGACAAGAGGAAACCGCAGTCTTTTCAGCCGCGCCTGCCAGGGTGGCTGCGGTTTGCGGGTGTGACCACAGTCCCTGCTGCTGGATATCTCCTACCCTCGGCTGTGCCTCAGTTTCCCTGTCCGCCAGCAACGCAGAGGGGAGCCTGCCTCTGAGCAGGGGACGGTGCAGGGAGGTCACTGGTGCCGGGGGTGGTGGCGGTGGGTCTCAGGGAGCCGAACAAACCCTGCTTTTTGGGGAAGGGCACATGTTTGCAACCTGGCCTCGACTCTGCCACCGCACGCTGGCGTGGTCTGAAGGTAGCCCCTGAGGGCGAGAGGAAATGCCGTGGCGGGGGAACGCGGGCCGGGAGGCACGTGCACGGGCAGAGGTGCATTCCTGGCCTGCCTCGGCACGCGCCGCTCGCTCGCCGGCCCCGTGGCTCTCACGCAGGCTCGCTCGCCGCCTGCTCGCGCGGGCGCCCACGTGGCCCTGGGCACGCTTCGTGTGCTGCCTCCACGTGCGTGTGCTTCGCTCGCTGTCTGGGCACCCCTGCCTCCTGTCTGCTCTGTCCACACTCACACACAGCCCCGTGCCCCCGCTGCTGGTGCACACCTGGCTCTTGCACACCACTGCGCCAGGCCATGCTTGCTTGGTGAGCAGCATGCGTGTCTGTGCAACTTGTGCACATCCACGGCTCACACACATCCCTGCCGCTTGCACGTATCCCACAGGCCGTGTGCTTCCATGTAGCTCACCCGTGTCCTGCAGCTCATGCACGCCCACACAGCTTGCGTGCCTGGTAGATCACGCAGGCCCACGCAGCTCACCACATCTTGCAGCTTGTGTGTGCCCGTGCAGCTCATGTGTCCTGCAGCTCATGCATGCCCGTGCAGCTTCCACGTCCCGCAGCTCATACATCTGTGCAACTCGCACACGTGCCTCCCACGAGCTCCCAGCTCGCAGGGAGCCCCGCTGCTGCCCTCCCAGCCTTCTCCCAGCTCCATGCAGATGCCGGCAGCACCGGAGCTGCGGGCGGGAACTGCGGCTCAGCGTGTGGCGGCATCAAGCCCGGGCTCGCCGGCCATCGAGGTGCCTGCGGGCCACGTGGCCAGGCTGTTGGAACAGGCCGGGCAGGCAGCGTGCCAGCTGCCGTGGTGTGCCGTGCATGCTGGGGTATGCCATGGTGCGCCACGGTGTGCCGTGTGTGCCGTGGTGTGCCACGGCGTGCCATGGCGTGCCGCGGTGTGCCGCCGCCCCGGAGCAGCTCCCGGGCTGGGGCGGGATGTGGCGCCATGGGCAAACCAACGGGAGGGGAGAAGGGTTTAGAGCCGGGGGTCATTTCCGATGCCGCCCCCAGGTGGGACTGGGACCCCCCGCCCAGAACAGCCCCCATTACACACCCGCTGCACGCCTGTTGCACGCTTTCCACACACACCTCCCCCTGCTACACAGCCGTTACACACACACGTCTGTGCCCAAAGCCCATTACACGCCTGTAACGCACGCCCCTGCCTGCTACACCCCTGTAACGCCCCGTGACGCCCCAACACCCCCCTCGCACCCCCTGCCCGTCACACCCCGGTAACGCTCCTGTGTCCCCTGCCCGTTACACACCTACAACACCCCCGGTGCACCCCTGTTCCACACCCATCAGATGCCTGTTTACCCCCGTTATACCCCCAGTGCGCCCCCGTTACACTTTGCACATCCTTTGCACACCCGCTGCACACCTGTTACCCTTTGCATGCCTGTTACGCACCCGTTACACACCCTTTGCCCTTTGCACACCCTTTGAACGCCCACTACACGCCTGTTGCACGCCCAATACCCTTTGCACAGCCATTGCACACCCGTTACGCATCCTTTGCAGACCTGTTACACGCTGTTTATCCTTTGTACACGCGTTGCACACCCGTTATCCTTTGCACACCCTTTCCACACCCGCTGCGCACCCTTGACCCTTTGCACGCCCTTTGCACGCCCGTTGCGCACCCGCTGCCCTTTGCACACCCGTTACACACCCGTTACACGCCCTCCGCACGCCCGTTACACGCAGCGTACTCGTTGCACCCCCGTCGCACGGCCGCTGCACGCCCGTTGCCCTTCGCGCGCCCGCTACACGGCCTTGG